AGCAAGATCAAAGTGACATATACGTGATGGTTACAATTGAAGGCAAATGCTACTTTTTCTTGAGCTTTTTATTCAATGTTCTTGATGAAGTCTTGAATCAACCTTCCAATAGAATCATACGAGGACCCGTCTTCCTTCACGGCGTTCCTAGCCACCTCCCTCATTTCCTTCACCTTCTTCTTTATCATTGCCGCGCCACCACCCATCAAGCATCCGACGGCCCTCTCTATCTCCTCCGTTGGCACCAGATGGCCGCCAACGCCGTTCTCCCAGTAGTCCAGCCACAACTCCACCACTAATCACAGTTCCTTCACCATCGTGAAGGCGTTCAACTACTGCTCTGCGTATATGGGCCACATCAGGATTGGCACTCCGTGCCACAAGCTCTCTAAAATGGAGTTCCAACTATAGTGAGACATGAACCCACCAATGAATGCGTGCGCCAACACCTCCACCGGAGGGTGAGAAATTTTATACGGATTTTCACATTTTACCTCAACTATGCTTGCAACGACCTGGTCCAACGAGGGCGGGAAATGGTCACTGGGTTAGAGAACTTGGATAAGAAGCGGCTCCTAGCAAGCTTTCAAGATAGCAAAGGGGGCAAGAATGAACCGATTTGTACACCGAATAGGGGGAGAGCATGTCAGGGATATAATTTGGAAAACTGGAATTAACTTCTTTTTTGTCGAAAAAACTGGTTTTAACTCACGAAGGTGCCTTTTGACCTAAAGGCAAACTTTGCTTTGAAACTCCAAAGTTAAGCATGCGTGGCCTAGAGTACTATCAGATTGGGTGACCTCTTAGAAAAATGTCTATCTATACACCAAAAGACAAAACCGTGAGGCTTAAGATGGGATTGGCCAAAGCGGACAATACATCAAGTGAGTTAATCCAGGGATGTCACAATATGGTAGTAAAGCGAGACCCCTTCCAGTAGGTGTATGGTTTAGGGAAGAACCATACGGAAGCTGGTGGGCCTATAATAACTTAGTCCGATGAGGGCGGGCAGCGGTCGCCGGGTCAGTGATTTCCAGCCAAAATTAGCCGGATAGACTATATTGGAGAATCGTCAAAAGTTTAAGACTAAATTGACTAAATTACACATTTAAGCCATCTGTCCTCATGAATTTTGTTTTTATTACCAGTGCCTACTGACCACATAACAGAATGTCAGATTGTATCCCTTCCCAACAAAATGCTTTGCCTACTGACCAGCAGGGTATGAAGAACCAACAAAAGTGGATGATTTGATTTTGAACGAGGAAGATAAATGGGATGAACAGACCCTATACAAACTCTTTGACGAGCAAATAGTTATTGAAATACTAACAATTCCCCTGAAGACTCAAATTTCGCAGGATAAACTTGTACGGACAGGAACTAAATCGGGTCAGCTTACCGTGAAGAGCGCCTATACATTGGAGAGAAAAGAGGTAAAACAAGATTCCACAGCACAGGCCTCAACATCATACCAGCCACCCCACAAGCTTTGGAAACGTATTTGGCGTCTGAATATGCCCCCAAGAATCAAAATTTTCCAATGGAGCTTATGCCAAAATGCAATCCTTACCAGAGATAACCTATTCGGGAGAAATATAATAGCTTCACCCACTTGCCCTTTTTGTAATCAAGATGCGGAAACAGTGGAGCACCTCTTCTTGCTCTGTTCTTGGACCGCTTCTATTTGGACTGCTCCTACGCTACAAGTCATAATTTCAAGGTCAGGGTTAGCAAGAATCGAAGATTGGTTACAAGCTTACAGTACCCACTATGTAGACCCACCTTCCCTCGACACGGTGGCTTGCGTTCTCTTGTCAATTTGGAAGGTGAGGAACAATTTTGTATTTCGGCAACAAATCCCAAACCCAGCGACCTTAGTGATTTTTAGAGATGGAATGGGAAAAAAGATGAAGCTTCAATCGGAGATCGGAGAATTACCTTGACATTGGATTCCACCGAGAGGCCGAATCTTAAAAATGAATATCGATGGGTCGTTTGGGGATAGAACAAACACCGGAGCTATAGCCTGCGTGATCCGCGACTCGCCGGGGATGATCATTGATGGGTTCGCCAATTCTGTAATTGCACTCCACCTTCCATGTCGAAACCCTATGAGCTCTCTCTCTCTCTCTCTCTCTCTCGTGGAAAATAGGAGAAGTGAAGTACTTGAAGTGGTGTCAGGCTGTTCTGAGTTGTTGGTAGAAGCTATTCCAAATGGAAAAATAACACAAATAATTCTTAAACTTTAGCTCAATATGCAATGTGGTCCTTAAACTTTTAATTTTTCAATGACATCCTTGAACTTTTGATACATATTTAGTTTAGTCCCTAAACTATTTGAAAATGTTCAATGTAGTCCTTCCATTAATTCAAGTTCAGGGGCTATATTGAACATTTTCATATAGTTCAGGGACTACATTGAACATGTACCAAAAGTTCAGAGACAACAGTAAACAAATTAAAAGTTCAGGGATCACATTGAACATTAGGCTAAAATTCAGGCACTACACATTGGACCTAAGTTTAAGGATGGTTTGTGTCATTATCTCTTTCCAAATCTATCGAAGCTCCGTGGGAAGTAGTACAATCTCTAATATCTAAGGCCCAGTGGTCCATGAGCTCATTTGCACACTTGAAGCTAGCCCACCGCAAACATGAGGCTAATTTTGTTGCGGACTGGGTAGCGAAGACCCAAAGATTAAATTCTCTGCCTTAGTAATTGGTTAGCTCTACCTTGTCTGAATGCTCCCTTAGTGAGCACGTGTGTTTGAGCACTTTTCATCGAATAAATTCGCATTTCGACAAAAAAAATAAAATTGACCGAATTGAAAAGTTAAAGATTGAATCGACCTCTATACGATAAATTTAGGATATTTTCTCAACAGAAAAGAAGTTATAACGATGCTTTTTTCCCCCACTCAAATAACACGGGCAACAATATACTTTTGTTTTTTTTTTTTTCGTCGAAACAATGCACTTTTGTTTGTGTGAGAGAATTTTGATGCACCCGCACAGTCAAACGTGGGTGCGAGACGGAGAAGGTATTTGCTTCCTGACAAAATAGAGATATAACGGGAAACGGGTGAATGAAATTACCTGTTATATTGATGAAGTAAACATCACTTCCTTCACAATTAAAAAAAAAAGGCTTTGAGAAAATATAGATACGTTAATTAAGTTGGGCCTTGATTAACGAGCTCCGGTATAGCTCATTGGTCCGCAGATACGATTGCTACAATCACATTTCGATAAATGAAAATCGATCATGATGAAAAAAATAGAAATATACAAAGTGCACGCTATATATAAATTTTGGAGAAATCGCGGACCTTTAATTTCGGGCTACATATTGACGAAATGTGAAATTGGTAAAACACTTACTAAACTCCCGAAACACATCCGCTCGAGCACAATAACCACAAAGAGCAAAAACTTCTTTTTTCATAATGAAAGTACGACGAGTATAATTCTGTAAACCCCCAGCAAATTCTAAAGTAATTAATAATTTTCAAAATGATAAGAATAAATCGCAATAAAATACTTTGTATAAAAAGTTTTATAAAGAAATGAAATGAAGTAGCACAAGGGCTATACTTGACGTGGTTTGGCCGTCATTTTGCTGCTTGGCCAACCTTGGGATTGAGACACCTTGGATGTAATCTCGAGGGGGACAAGGTAATCCTCTTTCTTCTCTCGGAAGAGCTTCCCTCTACCTAATGGGGTAGCTTCGTTTCTGTAAAACCCTAACTGCCTCATTTCATCCCTGAAAGCAAAAATGCAGTTTTTTCTGTCTCAGTCATCACAAATCATTAATCGTTTATAGAAATCCACTTCTGTAAACACTAAAGCTCCACCCAAAATCCTTTCTCCCCTTTCGATCTACTGCACACAAATAGCTTGAAATGCCTTCGTCTAACACTTGAGTCCTTCTCTGCAGCTGGGAACCCACTGTGAAGGGTAAGCAAATTTTGCTTGATCCTGTGCTGGGAACTCCAGTAGTTTGGACTTTGCATCACCACCATGGAGCCGTATGAAGATTCAGACCAGAGACTGGCCCTTCTCTGCAAAAGATTACGAAGAATGTGGTCAGATAAAGTCACTAAAAATGTGGAAGAAATTCTTGCATCAGCGAAAGCAAAGGATGGTCGTTTAACTCTGATAGGGCAACTTCTCAAAAACCCTAAAATCATTTTTCAAGCCTTCCAAAGCACAATGAGGAGACAATGGCGTGTGGAGAATGTTGATTTCACACCATTAGAGCAAGGTATTTTTGCCATTACTTTTGATTCTGAAGCTGCGAATAAAAAAGTGATGGACCAAGGTCTATGGTCCTTCATGACTAATCTCTTGATTTTGAAGCATTGGGAACCAAATACCACCACCTTGTGCTATAATTTTGACTCTTGTGATTTCTAGGTACATATTCTGGGGATCCTTTTGAGTGGATTTCTGAGGAACTAGTTCGTGGTGCAGCTGGAAATATAGGGCAGGTGCATGAAGCTAAAGTAGAGACTAAAGGTATGGTGTCCTATGGAAGGGCGAGAGTGATTTTGGATTTGAATTTACCACTGCAGTCTATAATGCTTGCTAATAATGGAGGTAAGAAAATCTAGCTAGACTTTAAATATGAGAGGCTCCCGTATTTTTGCTTCTCTTGTGGGAAAATAGGTCATTATGCTTATGATTGTGAGGAGGTGCCATTTAGAGACGAGGATTTTAACATTGATGAGGAGAGATTATTCGACTCATGGCTGAAGGCTGAGGTAAGCAGTAAAAGTCCATTCCGGAAGTTATTTCATGGCAAAGACTCAATTGAACCTATGGAAGAGGAAAGAATCCCGAAGACACTTACCCACTCCGGACAAATAGTACTTTATGAGAAGGACAAATCTAGCCCCATCAAGCAACTTCAGCACAATAACAAGGACAAAAGAAAGAGTGAACTTACTGAAACATGTAACTCAGCCATTGAGAGTGAGCATTTGTTGAAATTTTCCGATATATTGGCTGGAGACCAGGCTCTCCCCAGGGAACTTGATTTAACAATTGTACCTACTAGTTCCAACAAGAAGAAACAAAGTGGACAGAAAACTCCTGTGAGTAAGAAGATCAAAAAGTTCAGTCCCTACAACTCTCAAGGGAACAATATGCTACTAGTAGATGAAGACCAACTTCTTGAAACGCCAATCCAGGTATTGGAAGGCTCAGAAAAAATGGGCTGTTGGCTAGCCCTAATAAGCCATCGGGGTCAAAATGAAGATTTTAAGTTGGAACTGTCAGGGGTTGAGCACACCTCTGACAGTCCAAGCTTTGAGAGCCTTAGTGGCTCAAGAAAGGCCCGAGGTACTATTTCTTATGGAAACAAAAAGTCAAGAAGAGAAGATTTACAGATTAAGGAGGCGGTTGAAATTGGATGAGTGCTTTGTTGTCAACCCAACTGGGATAAGGGGAGGCTTAGCAATCATGTGGAATGTTTCTGCTGCTCTTTCGGTTTTATATGCTTCAGCTGAATCGATAGACATTGTATGTGAAGAGGAGAATTATAAAACTAAAATGAGAGTGACATTTGTACATGCACCAACAAACTACCAAGCAAAACTCAGGGTGTAGGATGAAATACATAGAATCAGCGAGATGAATCAGCTGCCTTGGGTTTGCATGGGGGACTTCAACGAAATCATGTATCATTGGGAAAAGGTAGGGAAAAGATTGGCCGAGCGTTATAGACTTCATGCATTTAGGGAGTTTCTGTATAGATGCGTACTAATGGACCTTGAAAGTAAGAGTTACGCATTTACCTGGTCAAATAATCGTGAAGGAGAAGAGCTTGTGAAGGAAAGACTTGATATAGCAGTAAACAACTTCAATTGGAGGCTAGAATTCCCTAAGGCAGAAGTATATGCATTACCGGCTATTGGTTCTGACCATAGCCCGATCATATTGTCCATTTTTCAAGCCCAAAAGAGGAGGAAGAAGAATTTCAGCTTCGAAGCATTTTGGCTAGAGGATGAGAGATGTAAAAGAGTAATCAATAAGGCCTGGACTTCTCCCACAAGGAAAAATGCGGGTCTCTTGGTCAGGCTGAAAAAGGTTACTGTTGCATTGCAGGGCTAGAGTAAGAAGAAATTTTCAAATGGACAGGAAAGAATAAAGCAATTAATGGAAGAAATTAAGTGCCTGACAAACAGTCGAAATGCTGAAAAGGGAAAAGAACAACTAGAAAAGTTGACAGAAGAAATTGAAACGCTATGGAGTTAGGAGGAGATGTATTGGGCAATGCGTTCGAGGATTAATTGGCTCAAGTGTGGGGATCGAAACAGTACGATTTTTCACGCCACTACCATATAGAGGAGATAGCGAAACAAAATTTCAATGCTCAAGGACTCAGAAGGCCACTGGAACCGGGACCAAGAACAAATAAAAACGATGACATATGACTTCTTCAGAGAGCTATACAGCTCAGTTGGGCTTCAAGACTTTACTCCACTGCTTGAAAACTGCTCTTGTCGTGTGAAGGAGGAAACAAACATGAGCCTGTTAGATGAAGTAACACTAGAAGAGGTAAAGCAAGCAATGTTTCAACTTGGAACTTCAAAAGCACCGGTCCATATGGCTTGAATGGCCAGTTCTTTCAGCACTATTGGGAAGACATAAAGCTGGAAGTATTTTTAGAGGTGAGTAAATTTTTCCAAACTGGAGTGCTAAATCCTCAATTGAATAGAACACTTATCTCTTTGGTGCCAAAAGTAGAAAACCCAAAGAAGCTGGAAGAGTTTAGACCAATAAGCTTGTGTAATTTCGCATACAAGATCATTTCAAAGGTGCTAGCTAATAGGCTAAAACCATGGCTTCTAGATTTGATAGAAATTGAACAGAGTGCCTTTGTAGGAGGACGGCAAATCCAAGATAATATCCTAGTTGTCCAGGAAGTTTTGCACCAACTAAGGGTTTGAAAAAGAAAACAAAAATTTCAGGCGGTGTTAAAGTTAGAAATGCAAAAAGCATATGATTGGATTGAATGGGACTTTCTAGAGGCATGTATGATTAGAATGGGGTTCAATGAAAGATGGGTGAATTTGATCATGCAATGTGTTACGACAATCTCATTGAGTGTCTAGTTGAATGGGGAACCCTTGCCTTACTTCCAACCTACAAGAGGAATAAGGCAAGGGGACCCTCTATCTCCATACTTATTCATATTGGTTACTAACTTCCTATCAATGTTGATGAAGAAATCTGTGCAAGATGGCACCATAAAAGGGATAAAATTAAATAGACATTGCCCGGTACTATCTCACCTACTCTTTGCAGATGATTCAATCTTTTTTCTAGATGGAAAGTTACAAGAATGTCAGAACTTGGCTACAATCCTTCACCAGTATTGCTTTACTTTAGGGCAAGCAGTTAATTTGAACAAGTCAGGTATATATTTTAGTAAGGACTGCCCTAGTGAATTAAGAAGGAACATGGCAAGAGAACTAAGAGTCCCAGAGATTGATAAGATGGGAAAATACTTAGGTATTCCCTGTGATTGGGAAGCATCCAAAAAGCAAATGTTTGTTTGGATCTTGGCGAGGGTAAACATGAAGCTGGAAGGGTGGAAAGAGAACACAATGTCTAAAGCAGGCAAAGAAATTCTCATAAAAACAGTAGTCCAAGCATTACCTCAATGTGCGATGTCCATTTTCAAGATCCCAGTTTCAGTGTATTAGGCAATTGAGCAAAAAATAGCAGCATTTTGGTGGAAGAATCAAACCTCTAAAAAAGGAATATACTGGAGGAAGTGGGAACTGCTAAAGCAAAGAAAAGACAGGGGAGGCCTTGGTTTTAGGGATTTAATATCCTTTAACAAGGCCATGCTTGGGAAACATGTTTGGCAATTAGCACAAAACCCTACAACTCTGTGTAGTCAGATTTTAAAAGGAACATACTACCCCGAATAAGAGTTTCTGGATGGCAAAGAAGGGATCCAGACCCTCTTGGGGATGGCAAAGCATATTAATGGGGAGAACAGCAATTGAAGACTCGGTCATGTGGTCAGTAGGAAATGGGAAAAACATTAACATAAGGGAAGATAAGTGGCTCAAAAGGGGAATTATAGGGGGACCAGCTAATGTTGGAGATCCAACAAAGGTTGCTGAATTGATAAACCAGGAGGAAACCACGTGGAAGGAACCAATCTTGAGAAGATTGTTTGACGAACAGATAGTGAGTGAGATCCTCACAGTCCAAATCAGACCGCAGATGAACGTAGACAAGCTGGTCTGGACTGGAAAGAGAGAAAGAGAGTACACCGTAAAGAGTGGCTACAACACTATTTGCAAAAACGACAGCAAAGCAAATACAGATCAGGCCTCCTATTCTCACCAAACTTCAAACAAACTCTGGAACATAATTTGGAGCATGGAAACTCCCCACAAAATCAGAAATTTTATTTGGAATGTATGTCAAAATGCTCTCCCAACAAAGGAAAATTTATACAGAAGGAAGATTAGACCTGATCCTACCTGCCCAATTTGCCGAGCGCATGTCAAAACCCCGGAGCATTTATTCCTTCTTTCCAAGTGGACAAAGGTAGTGTGGGATGATCCTGTACTAAATATCCAGATCTCTGAATATCAAACTTCCAGAATCAAAGATTGGCTGATAAATTACATACCCAGCAGAAAGAACTCACCAGAATTTGAACTAGTCTCGGCTGTACTCTAGAAAATCTAGAAAGCAAGAAATAGCCTCGTCTTTAGAAGGTTCCTTTCGGATCCGAAGTCTCTGGTCGAATCAGGGTAACAAATACTCAGAAACTTTAGTAAATGGAGCAACTTGCACAGAAAATTAGTAGCTGCAAACAAGGAGGAGGAGGATAGCTGGATTCCTCCATAAAGGGGAGAAATAATAGTAAATATTGATGTAGCGCACCAACCTGGATCATTTGAAGGATCAATTGCTTGTGTGTGCCGCAACTCATCCGGGATTTTGATCAATGGCTTCGCAAAGAACGTCCTCGTCTCCTCCGCCGAGCAAGCAGAAACCCTAGCCATGGTGGAAACTCCGAAATTTCTCTCTCCACGTGCGGGCGAAAGACTGACTTTGGAGTCAGACTGTCTTAGTTTAGTGAGAAGTATGAAGTCTTCAGTACAGCTGCCGTGGGAAGAACGCGCACTTATCAGCGAAGCCCGTGGGCTGATTTCTATTTTCTCTAATTTAAAGCTAGTCCATTGTAACAGGGTCACGAATGGTGTGGCTGACTAGGCAGTAAAGATCTACAGGAAAAAAGCACTCACCGAAAACTGGTTGACCTGCTCTCCGCAGGCCCTTAGAGATCTGCTCTGTTATGAGACCCCGCTAGTGGGTTCTTTTTTACAAGATATTAATGAAGAGTTGATATTTCAGACCAAAAAAACAAAACCTGGGATTGAGGACCATTACAATTACATTTACATTTACATTTACATTTACATCCCCATGTGTTGTAGCACAAGGGCTGTTCTTTCTTCCGTTAAATCAATTACGCATCCAATCCGGCGAACATGAACACGTGCCCCCTGGTTTTTTTTTCTTGCTTTCGGGGAAGATATTATAAGCTTGCCTAGCATTTCGCTCAATGACCGCTCACGTGCCTTTACTTTTGAAAACGCCGAGTACGTATCTAAGTGTTACCTCTGAAGACCATTTCGCACTTTCACATCCATTATCCTTATGCCTTTATTAAAGGAAACGTCACTTTCTTTCCGGAACTACCAATCTCTAAAATCTTAAATTGACCCACTCGAAACCAGATTTTAACCGAAAATGCTAAAGAAGATTGGCAAGAGGAGCAAATTGATCTTTTCAATGTGAAGTCTCGCTTAAATGTGTGTTAATTGTATCTACAGTTGCTTGGTATGCGCATGCCAACGCATTTCTAAAGACATGTAATATGATCCGCATCAATCAAGAGCCCCGACCCGACTCGAACCACAAAATTCAAAATTAGGTGATCGTTCCTTTCAATCCGGTGCGCAAAGAAAAGTAGATTCCTCTCCTTTCCATTTCATTGCCTTATTCAAAGGATCTTTCATATCAACAAAAGATTTATAATTACACCAAGCCACGTGGGTTGTGTCGACCGGGCAAAACAGAAAAAAGGAAAAAGAAAAAAGGAGAAAAAAATTAGAGCTGAAGCAAAACCGTCCATCCACCACCATGCAATGTGCATCGGCCATAGCCCCGGCCCAAGGCGCGCTGCGCGGGACACCGTACCGGCCCATATGCTCGCCACTCCCGGCGGCTTCGCATGCTCCGGTCACGTGATCAAACAAAAAGCCACAAAAAAAAATAATAAGGAGCTGTCCTTTTTTTCCTCTCTCTTGTTTTTTTTTTTTCTGTATATAGTTCTTGCTACAAAATGAATTTCTGAGTAAAGGGTCCGAAAAAGAAAAACAGCATGGCTCTTTTTTATTTTTTATTTTGATGTTTTGTCAAAAACTTTGATGATGGTCATGCTTCATGGGGGTCACTACCGTCGATGCAGGCTCGATCCTCCTCCCCCTCCTCCGGAGCGGAGAGAGGGAAGCACGTATCCTCGCCCCCGGTGTTCCACAGGAAGTGGGCGTAGTTCGCGGCGTAGAACGAGTTGCTCGGGTCCGCCGAGATCGCCTCCAGGTACATCTCCTCCGCCGCCCACAGGTCGTTCCTGGCCATCCACAGGAAGCCCGCGTACTTGCTGCACGCCTCCGCGTCCGCCGGCTCCTCCGCCGCCACCGCCTTCTTGAAGTACTCCTCGGCTCTGTTCGACCCAACATAGCAAAAAGATAAGGCGTCAAAGGGCTTAAGCCAAATCACGTTACATAGTGTTCCATAGGCTGATATGCGCCACGAACATTCCGCCAAACATTAGCTTCTCCAAAACAAACGTACGAAAAACAAGTGGTGGTCAACACCTACAGCTACAGTCGAGCACCTTTCTCCGTCATGTCGAGCTAAAGTTATGGAGACTTTTTCCTACAAGGCCGATGTTTTCCTTCCTTTTTTTATATTTGTATTTTCATAAATTTCTTTTGGGCCATCGCATGAGGACGAGTCAAATCGATCTTTCTTTCCCTAGAATGGCAAACTCCCACCACACACTTCCCTATCAACCTACCAAGAACAAGCAGGCACCTTGAACAGGATGACAAGTTCGGATCGAACCCGCACGAATTTCTCGAGGAACATTGAATTTTAAACGCCGACCGACCCCCCGGAAAAGATCTCTGAGGACAGAGAATAAAGAAATTTATTTAATAAGAAAAATCTGAATTTGCGGTTGACCGCTCATCAAATTTCGGAGTTTTGGTGAAGTTTGCACCCCTTGTGGCATGATGAGTGTGAGATTACATGCTAATGCTCTATGTCGTGCATGGCCGAAAGAAGAAACGTGGGCAGGAACACGTAGAAGAACAGTACCTGTCGTAGTCGCGGGCGACGAGGTAGAGGAATTGAGCGTAATTGACAAGGAGGACGGCGTTGGTAGGATCCTGATATAGGCTGGTCTGGTAGGTCAGCTCCGTCCTGAAATACTCCGGGTAGTCGTCGGGTTCGGCTTTCGCCGTCACCGGCGAGACAAACTTCTGCGTCACCTCGTGGTCGAGGGCCTCGTCCCTCGAGGGAGCCTGCATTTGCGAGGCCTCCTCGACCATCGAGTTCCACAGCAGCATCTCCTCTTCCCGGATCGATTGCCCCGAGACCGACTCGGCTTCTGTCGTGGCCCCGAATGAGGATAATTGAGAGGCTCCGTCGGGGAGTATCGGAGGGTAATTGTCGGACCGATGGAACTGTCCCTCGCCATCCATGCCGCTGGCGATGGGGCGAACCTTCCCGCCCCCGCCATTGTTTCCACCTACCGAAGTCGTCTTCCCACTTGACGACGGAATCGAAAATGTCTTAACAGTCGACGAATCGAACTTCTGCTGCGAATTGTCTTGAACTTCGACCGCGGAAGCCATCTCTGTGGCGGCAGCGTAAGTCCCAACCGGCGGTGCAACTGCGATCGCCGCATTGCTCCCCATCGAGTACACCGTGAAATTCGCTAGCAAGATCATCACGTAGACCATCAACGTCGGCGTGTGCGAGAAAACCTGCTGAAACAGCCACACGAAAGAGGCGTGCATCTCTCGCTGCACGCGGGCCAGGATCCCCTGCAAATCCTCGTAAAACAGGACCTCCCTCATCTGCAGAGCGAAGCTGTGGAGCTCTCGGATGATGAAAACCATCGAGGCGAAGGCCTTCTTCACAGAGCAATACGCCGATTCTTCGGCCTCTCTGAAGCCCTCCTTCCACTGCATCTTCCTCTTGATCATCCTCAGCGAGAGCGGGAGATCGACGCTATTCGCCCTCCGCTCGATATTCGCAGGGATGATCGCCTCACCGCCTTCATAATCTGAAGAGTCTAGCTTAATTCTCTCGTCTTGCCATGGATGTTCTTTATGCTCTATATTCGACAATGGAAGTTGTATATGTTCAGAGTCAAAGTTGACGCTACTGTTCATTCTCGAAGAAACCTCGTCCTCCCCACAGCCAGAGACCGACTCTGCCTCCGCCTCCGCCTCCGCCTCTGCATCTGCAGAGATACTATCCATGCCACCATCAACGTCGTCGGAGAGCTGAAACCTGAGCGCCAGCTCCTGAATCCTCTTCGAGAACTCCTCGTCGGAGAAAGCGTCGTCGAGGCTCGCACTGCAAGCGCGCTTCACAGTACGAGCTCCGGGCTTCGAGTAGTCGGAGGATCGGAACCTGTGGAGCTTCGCCGCCGTCGACGACGGAGGAGCGCCGGACAGAGCAGAGCGTTCCAGGCTCTGCACGTACCGGCACAGGAGAGGCCCGGCGTCGCTCCGGGCCCGCCGCCGCCGCGAGGAAGGAGAAGAGATCGCGGAGGCCAGAGTCTGGGACGAGGACGGCGGCTGGGGAACGATGGGCTGCGACCACTGCAAGCAGGCCGTCGGCACTCTCACCCCCATAATGACGGTGCAGCAAAAGCGAAAGGCGAAAGCTTTCCAAGCGTGAAAATCCAAAACTTTCCCCGGGGAAAAAAAGCTCCCACCAATCGGAAAGCTCGCGACTTTTGCTCCTCCCACCTTCGCGCAAAACCTGAGAAGTCGCAGGCACCAACGAAACCGAGTCAGCAAGAGAGGAGAAACAGGTTCGCCGCTGCCACCACCACCACCACAAAAGCTAATGAACTTTCGCCGAAACAGAGTCTCGATCTCTCGCTCACACTATCGACCCAACTCTTTTCTTTTTTCCCGGAAAGCGCAACCCAAGAAAAGCAGGGGAAAATCTTCACTCTCTCGAGAAAAGATAACCCCGAGAATAAACTTCGAGCGGTCAGCTCGAAAAGCTCATGCGCATGTGCCCACGAAAGAAGCTCGAAGCTCGGATTCAACAGCTCCCCCCAGGAAAACTCGGATCCCGAAGAGGGCACCCCCGCCCGCTCCCTCCTCCCGGGCACACGGAAAGACTAAACGAAAAAAGGGGAAAACTTTTTTGCTCGGAAAATCCCTAATCAACAAATTACCCGAATCGATGAATCTCTCTCTCTCTCTGGCGAAGCCCGGATTCGGAAAAGAGGCGAGGGAACAGGTAAGGGGGAAGCGAGGAGTTTTCCCGGCCGAAATCTCTGGCGGAGGGAAGTCGCCGCCGTAGCTTCGCTCCCTAGCAGGAGCACAGAAGAGCCATATATACAAGACGGCGAACGGGAAAATTATACCCCGGGGCAAAAAAAAAAAAAATTTATATATTATATATTAAAAAGAGGGGACGAAAAAACCTCGACAGGCTAATGCCGGTTGCAAGGGTATTTGTGGAAATTCGGGGGGAGGCGATTTTTTTTTGGGCTCGGCGGGGTTTGGAATTATACACGCGAAAATAAGCAACATTCGGGATCCGTACGAGACGTGCGGTGTTTTTACAGGGAGAGCGGGTGGCCGGTCAGAGATGCGGGGCCCCCCCGCGTCAGAAGCCCCCGATGCGTGGGGGGGCGGGGATTTTTTCCAGTGCCACGCGGCTGCTTTCACGGGGACCAGTCTCGGGGGGGGGGGGGGGGGGAGGGGGGATCCGATCTGGCCGTTGATCGGTCGCCACGTGTGCCCGCGGACCTCGTGCCCCCCCCCCGGGAAAGGAGATCCGAGCGTCCCAAAGACCGTGATCCCCCCACCGACCCGTCTTAATTGCTCTTCCGCGTGTAAAAGAACGCGCTTTCGAGCGGGTTTTACGTTTTTCGTCGTGTGGCTTTCGATATTTGGTTCGGCTTTTGACCAATCCCAATTTCGATTTTTATCGATGGATTTTTCCGTTATTTATCGATGACCCGTGAAAAGAAAGTTTTTTACACCTAGCGCCGGTGGCCGGGCGTGTTGATATCGATTCCGGTAATCGATTTTCATGCGTGCGGATCGCTTATGCATTTATTGAGATTTTTTTTATAGTTCTTAATTAGAGTCGGGTTGGGAAGACATCGGCTCGTGTGTATTCCTTCTTTCGACGGGAGTGTTTGAAAGGTTTTTTTAAATTTTTTTTTAACGATCGGAGAGCACGGTGCTCGGTTCGGGGCCCTTGCGGGTTTGTGGAAGAGAGGGCAAAACTGGAAAATGGCAAAGGTAGAAAGAAAAGGGAAGGAAAGAAAAAAAGGAAAATTCGAGAATTAATCTGAATTGTCGGATGGGCTTTACGGTGGGGTGACCTCTAAGGATCACTTTAAGATGGGGAGATTTCGATCACAAAAACTAATCCCAATCATTCATCTACTTTTTTAAATGATGTGCCATGATTTATCTTAGCCAAAAATAAAAAAATAAAAAGATGTGCCATGTTCTTCTTTATTGAATAGATTAATATCACTTAAAAGGAATAAACAAAGATCTGGCTAATTATACAAAATACCCCACGAGATTAGACTTAGCTTAGCAGATTCTTCTATCTTCAAATTTTGTATGCTAAAGTAAAAATTTTGGAAAGAAAAGCTAAAGCGAAAGAGATATGAAGGACGTATTGATGTATTTTGAAAAACTGAATGAAGTATCCAATTCCAATTGGAATTCTAATTGAAAACGTGTGGAAGATTGAAGAGACTGTACGGGAATATTATCATCTTTTTCAAGTGAAAAGTTTGCCTCTATATGATAAAATATTACTATCATTCACTTTCAGAAATAGTTCATGAATTTTAGTTCAATGTGCAATATGGTTCTTAAATTTTTAATTTGCTCAACATGGTCCATGAATTTTAACATAATATTCAATGTGATCCCTGAACTTTTGGTACATGTTCAATTAGTCCATAGACTTTACATTGTTCCTAATGTCGAGTTAATGGAAAAACTACATTAAACATTTTCATACATAGTTTAGGAGCGATACTGAATGTGTACCAAAAGTCCAGGTAGGGCTGTCAAAAAAACCCGATCGAACACGACCTGACTCAACCCAATTCGGCCTGACCCAACCCAACCCGGCCCAAACCGAAAATTTTTGTATTAGATCGGGTTAGGCCTCAACTTGTTTGGGTATTAGTAAAAACATTTGGGTATTGTTTTGGATCTCTATTGGGCTCGGGTACCCGAGCCCAACCCGAAACAATGAAACCCTGGGACGGGGAGATCTCTTCCACATGTCTCTCACTCTCTCGCCTCTTTTGGTTCTGGGTTTTGTTGCTCTGCTCACTCACTCTTGCTCTTGGAAACCCTAGCTACATCTCTCTCTCTGTCTCGCTCAACCCCTCCTCGTCGCCCTTGCAAAGCTCGAGATCGTGGCAATGGCGGGCTGTAAAGCTCGCAAACATGGCCGTGGTGGTGCTCGTCCTCGCCCTCACAGCGCTCGCCGCGACCGCCCAGGTCGAGGCCCTGCCTCCCCGTCGATCCTCTCCGCTGCCGGAGCGGCGGCCGTCGTGGCCCTCGTCTTCGGCTCCGCACTCAGGATGTGAAGCGGCGCCGAGCTTCCGGAGGTCGTCCTGTCCATGGGGGGAAGAGATTCTTAGTTTTTCGCTGTCGCGGTCTATTATTAGGCGTATTTAGCTGGCGGGCCCCGGAGGGAGCTCGAGAGCGTGGCGGTGGGGCTGGGGGCCCTAGGGGTCTCGTTCTGCATCGATTTGGGGACCAACTGCTGCTGCGGCTTGGCAGGAGGCTTGGCGCCGGTCTCGCACCGGCTATGGGCGGGCGAGGGTCGGTTCGACATGGGTTTTTATGGGCTTTGAATGAGGAGGAATTTGTGTGGCGAAGGAGGAGGAGATGATGGGGACTTGGTGATGGAAGAAGGCGAGCGGTACGCTTGTGAGAAGTTGAAGAGTGACTGACGAGAGAGAGAGAGAGTCCGCGACCGCGAGTGACGCAGTCCACGTGAACGTATGGGTGATGCGCAAAGAGAGCGTAGAATCTAGAATTTTCTAGGATTCATTGTTCGAAACATGAACCCGGCCCGACCCCGACCCGACCCGGTCCGATCGTGTGTCGATATTCTGTTCGGGTCCTGTCTCGGGTCGGGCCAAGCACATATGTTTAGTATTTCAGGTCGGTTCGGGCATCATGAAAACCCGACCCCGACTCATTGAAACTCCTAAGTCCATGGACTAAATTGAATAATTAAAAATTCAATGATCACATTGAAAATTACGCTAAAGTGGGTCGCGGACGCAGTTCACGTGAACGTATGGGTGATGCGTGAAGAGAGCGTAGAATCTAGAATTTTCTAGGATTCATTGTTCGAAACATGAACCCGGCCCGCCCCGACCCGACCCGGTCCGATCGTGTGTCGATATTCTGTTTGGGTCTTGTCTCGGGTCGGGCCAAGCACATATGTTTAGTTTTTCGGGTCGGTTTGGGCATCATGAAAACTCAACCCGACTCGACCTCGACTCATTGAAACTCTTAAGTCCAGGGACTAAATTGAATAATTAAAAATTTAAGGATCACATTGAAAATTACGCTAAAGTGAGTCGCGGACACAGTCCACGTGAACGTATGGGTGATGCGCAAAGAGAGCGTAGAATCTAGAATTTTCTAGGATTCATTGTTCGAAACATGAACCCCGCCTAACCCGACTCCGACCCTGGTCGATCGTGTGTCGATATTCTCGTTTGGGTCGCTCTGTCTCGGGCCGCCAAGACATATGTTTAGTATTTTGGATCGCCTTTGGGCATCATGAAAATCCGACCCGACCCGACCCGACCCCGACTCATTGAAACTCATAAGTCCATGGACTAAATTGAATAATTAAAAATTTAAGGATCACATTGAACATTACGCTAAAATTTAAGGACCGCGTTTAACAAATTGAAAGTTCAAGAATCATTCGTGTCGTCATCCTCTAATAACAAATAGGAATTTTCATGAGATTATTCTAGTAAAAATTGAGGTTAGACAAGACACTCCAAGTTGCTTTATCTATAGACAAAATCACTTGATTTCTTCCGATTACCACGCACAACAGATGCTCGAATAATTACCTCACAGAAAAGGAATGCATTATTGTTGGGTGACGTCATTCGTCGTTCTCAGTGGTCGACAATGCGGCTCCAAGGGCTAAATTAAGTCACTGAGGGCATAAAAGCATCCGTGGTTTTTTTTTTTTCTTTATTTTGTTCTAAAGACTGCTCAATTATTAAGTTGAATTTCTCCAACGAGGCAATGAGTAGCGGTTCTCCCACTTTTTCCAATTTTCCTCTCATTTTTTAATAGGGCTAATACCACAAAAACTCCAAACCGATACACATGTGATAAATTTACCTTAAATTAATTTTTTGATCACCAAAAACTCCAAACTGGTACACCTGTGATAAATTTACCAAAAACTAATTTTTTAACCTCTAAAAACCCAAAACTGGTATATTTGTAACAAATTTGCTATCCGTTAAATTGAATTAATACCATGAAAAATCACAAACGGGTACACCCGTAACAAACGGAGGTTAAAACCCCAAACTAGTATACCCGTCAACTATCACGTGTCATCCAACTTAGAAATTTAACGGTAAAATTTAACGGAAACTAACGGAGGGTAAAATTGTCACATATTTACATGTTTTGGATTTTTTTGTGATAGTTTGGGGTAAATTTGTCACATGTATACTAATTTGGGGTTTTCGTGGTATTAACCCTTTTTTAATATTCATTTTACTGATATATAATAAGACCAGCAGTTGCTTTTTTATTTATTTATCTATTTATTCGTTTGTTTTTTTACAGAAATATTTAGTGTTGGAAAGTGGGACAAAATCTGGACAGATATATATATATATATATATATCTCGTTGGAAGGCGAAGGGCTAAGGAGCCGACGGTCCAGAATTGCAGAGAGAAAAAGCTTCGGGAATGCGAAAGCTGTAAGGCCAACTTGCGCCACGAGATTCCCACATGGGGAGATAGCGCGGCGGTCGGTGACGGTGACAGGCGATCGATGGGACGGCGGGCGCGGCG